ATGTACTAAGTATAAATATATATAAGTTAGGAGACAGTTTGTAAGTATTGACCCATTGTAATGGTAATCAATACGTTATAATAAGATTAATTAGAATAAAGATTATAAACAAACAACAGAAATAATCAGAGTTATAATCAGAGTTTCAGATTATATATATAGTATATATATTTATATATATACTATTGTTATCATTGAGTCGAGGATAACGTTCCACAGGTACTCGAACCTGTTAATGTTTATATAGAACGAGTTGACGAGTTGACATAAAATTAAGGCAACACTTTACAGGGAAGTAAAAGGTTCGTTCGAAAAATGCTGGTTAAGCGGATACAAGTGATTTGGATTTGTCGAATGTCAAAATAAATCAGTTTTACCTACTGAACTTTTGAAAAGATAAAACATTATTTTAATCACTTTATCAATACAAGTACTTATTCCATATGAATGTAATATCTGGAATTAAGATAACTATTATTCCCAATGAAAATAAGATAGTAAAAAACTTAAAGGAACTGGTGACAAAAACTTGTCTGGCTTCACATTAAATGTTGTTAAATTATTAAATAATTCGGGATGTTTATTGGTAATATGGTCCTTATTTAATTGTTGCCAAAGAAACAACTGTTAATATTAGTAATATTACAGAGGAAAAAGAAATGTTAAGTAAGGTTTGATAAAGGCGAGTGGGGCTAAAGACTAAGGATGTGTAAACGGACGTGTAATTTGGACGACCCTCGCCCTCTGGGAGTCTTGAAAAGGGGCGGAAGGCCGTTAGGGATCAAAGGTTTGATAAGGCGCGTTCGGACCACTGATGCGGGAACTTCTTGGACCTTATCCAACGCCACTTTCATCTTGGATTTTATATGTGAGAACCCGGTTGATTTATTGCTAAAATTGTATAACTAATCTTTTTTGTAACACTTTTGCATCGTTTTCCAAAACAACGTGTTTGATAAGGTTATTTTGAATTATATCTGTTTACTGATTGGGCCTTTTATACTACAATTTACGGCCTTATACAACTTATTAGGTGGTTCAGAGTCACACTAATATTACTAGAAATAGTACAAAAATATATCGAATAGAGATCTGTTGCATGGCATGTAGAGTTCATTAATGCAGTTTTGAAAAATACTGTTTACTTGGAAATATTAATTGTTAACTCCAAGTATACATACCAAATAAAAACTAAATGTACTGTAGTATTATTATGGCAGTAGTTTTATTATTTACTAGCTTGTACCCGTGGCTTCGTCTGCGATGGTATAACCATAAATATTATACAGCATAAGAAATGAAAATAGTATTACGTGCATTACAATAATTATCCGTAATGGATTTGACAATTATCACAAAAATAATATATTATCATTATTCATTGCGTCACGCATAGTTTAAACATAATATGTTACGATTAAAACGTCTACAGCGATTAAATTGCAATTAAAACCTAAATTAAAACCAATTTTTTTAATATCCGACAAAAAAATGTTACAACAAAAAGTCTTGAAGTTAAAAATGCCGCTACTCTTCAGCTTCTCCAAGTACAGTCATTTCATAGCTTTATCGGCTCTTCTAATACAGGTAAAAACAATTTTCCAACAGAACAACACATCCCAGCAGGCTCATCTTTACATTTTAATGCTCCGCAGTGTATACAATCTCTCTCCATTCGATATATTTTTAATAATTGTATCGTATGTATTTTATTGTTGCGTGATATTCCACTGCACCATTTTCAAACACACAACAAGTATCGAAGTATCTCCATGTTAAGTGTTGAATGCGTGTTGCCAATTATTAAATTAAAACACAAACATAACTGGAAACAATCCTACTTTGACAGTTTTCATTGTACGTTACAGCTTTTTTTGCAGCTAGTTCAAATTAGCTATTAATTGTCATAGATGCAAAAGATGTAGAGCTGAACCCGGGTAAACCTTTTAACTTTTGAATGCTATTGAATAACATAGAAGCAACTTCTCTAATTGAAACAGCTGTCAAAATTAATTAATACTTTTCAAATAAGAATACTAAAAAGGTTACATGGGAAATTCCAGAGCCACTGGGGCTGAGCCCGTTTCATCTTTGATGGAGCTGATTGTTTGTCATGCGATAAGTCTAAGCCTCGTAGGGGACATCGACTTCCTACGTGGCCAATAGAACCCTTAGAAAAGTCAGAGGAGTACAAGGTTTAAAAAAAGTCTCTTCACTGGGCCATCAACCGGAGCTTGAAGAAAGAAGCTATTGCTAGGGGAAACCAAAAGAACGGCATATATTCCGTACCACGGGTCTTGGGATACAAACCTGCAGCCCAGAAACTCAGTTTCAACCCTCCCCCTTTGATAATAGAGGGGAAAATATAATACAGTCCCATTTTGTAACGGGTAACGAGTACACATGTACTCTTTGGGAAGGTGAACTCAAATTAAGTCCCACCTCCAATCCAATCAGTGGAGCCTGGGGTTGGAGATTTTTTATTCTATCCCTAAAAATCAACAAGGCCCCTAGAGATGATGGGGTGACCGGCCAGGCCACCAAGAAAGTTAATCTATCCCCTGATCCAGTTAATCGCGTACGGTGTCCTTTTGGCAGAGAGTTGTTTCCTCGTTCTAGAGAACAGTTAGGTTTGAGTTCACAGGAAAGGGGGAGGGAGGTGTAGACCTGCTATCCTATTACAAACCTCTCTGTTCTCGACTGAGTTCAGCCGTGGTCACTGCGGGAGACCTGTCACCTCCTCCGAACTGCCTCAGGGACGAAGCAAGCCGCTGATGAGAGCTGGTTCATGATACTGTGGGAGGTATCAATTCCGGTGCCGAATGAGGGTCCATATCTCTAAAACGTCACCTACAGCAGCCTTCTGAGATCTTAACTAGATGAGGTAACTGTTTTTGTTTAGTACTTAGATGATCTTACGGTTTTGATAACTGCACGTAGCATTGAGCTGGCTTAGCTAAAACAGAACATAGTCATGCGAACCATCAATGTATGGTTGGCTGACCATTGCCTCTCGCTCACTTAGAACATAGCCAAGAGACTGTAGTGAAACTGACAAAACCGAGTTAGTGCCCCCAAGTACCGTAAAGGCAACATAGATGGTGGAACCAGATCATACTTTCGGAGCCTTATGGTGTTTGGGGCCTGCCAAGTCTGCTGCCACCGCCAGTCCTGAAAAGCGGACTACGCCTCCACAGCTACCGAGTGCAAAGCCTCCTCGGCCAACATCGGCCGCTGTACCAACGCAGCCAGCCTATGTTCCGACGACCGAGGGTGACGCCAGCCCGTCAAAGAGGAGGAGGAAGAGAACCACGAGAACCGCCGGCCACGACAGGGCGAGAGAGAACCCAATCCCACGACAACGAAGAAAACGGAGCAGAGACCGTTGGAGTCAGAAGATCCAACCCCAGCTATTTCTGCGAAGTTTCGCCCGCAGACTCACCACACCCCACCCGCTTCGGGAGCTGCTCCTGAGACAGCAAACCACGACCAATATAAAATCTTCCACCGCTGTAGACGCCCAGACGACCCTTGTGGAGATAAACAAGGTCCTCGCCCAGGTCATGGCAAGAGTGAAAACACTAACGGATCTGACTTCGCGGCTCATCGACCAGCGTTTGTGGACAGCCTGTGTTGCCCACACCGGGACCCAAGCTATCTCCAGCCGGACCGGCATGCAAAGCTTGCGCAAGTTTATGCCACCACGAGAGGGGAGGAAGAACCGGCCGCCTAATGGCCAATATCAGATGCAGAATGATGTTGATACAATCAGCCCATTCCGTACTCGTTTAAATTGAGAAAGAGCAGGGAACAAGAGGGAGGCACTGGTATTTGGACCAGGTGACTTTTTCTGCAAGGCCAACTTTGTGTTAATCAGTGGTATGAAGAGGAAGTCTATTACCTCACTCAGTTCTGTCATTCTATGCATTTTTCCAGCCGTGTTCAGGATGGTAAAATCCATGTCACCCGATTGCAATTACTTACAGGCACTCCCAATAACGCGAAAGAAACTTTCTGGTGTTAACGTAAGCTTAACTTTCTGGAGCGCACTGGGAAACGCTTCACCTGGACGCCTCACACGATGTACGACTATTTTTTGGTTGACGAAGTCACCCTGATGGTGGGGACAATTTGTTCTATGTGCCACAGGGTATCTTTCTTGCCGAGAATGGGATGTTGTCTAGAGCATATAAGAACTGAATACCAGAATCTTTGAAAATTAAAAATGAAATGAAATTAAAAATTATTTATTTACCCAGGCAAAGTTAGGGCCACATGGCCCTTTCTTACACTTAACCATTTAATCTTTGCATGCCCTGAAGGCCAGATATTATGATTATCTAACTTGAAGAAATGGAAAAACAATCTCAGGTCTTTGTCTAATCACAGAGAAGTATGGCATATAAGAAACAAGGTTATGGGGTGACCGTGCAGTCCCAGATCTAGTAGGTGTGAAATATACTTCTGACAAGCAAGGAAGAGCCCGAGCGGCACACCTTGTGTGGAAATTCCTATTGAACAAGGCACAGGGTCTTCCTCCACCGTAAGCGTTGTAGTACATGATGGCGAGGGCGGTGGTGTTAGACTTTGCCCCATAAACCAGCGACTAGTGTTTGGCACCACTTAAGTTTGCCATTGCGTGTTTGTTTCCTCTGTACCTTACTTCTCTATGGCATAAAAAAGTAGAGGGTTTTTTTGTATTAAGTAGTGTGATACATCCAGGGAGTATTACATCACAGGCTAAGGTGTTCTTGTCGTTTCACCTCTACTAGAAATTACACGAGAAAGTTTACTTTAGAAAATTGCTTGGATCTTGAATGCCAACGATGTTTGTTAAGAACGTAATTGAAGAGTCTACTTTGGCCTGAAATAGTGATGCCCTATATTTAAATTTCACATTTCTTATTCAAGCTATGGTGGCAATGTCTTTATAAATACAACTTACCTTTATTTAGTTTTCATTAAATGTTTTAAATGGTGGTGAAGAAAATAAGACACAATACGTTAACAACAACTTTTGTATTTACCAACAGGCTCCTATAAATAAATGTACAACTCCAAGTACTAATACTTCTAACACAACAAAATGATGACAATGCGTTTAGAATTCTGGCTCTTTCCCGATCTATCTTTCGTATCAAATATTACAAAAAAATAATCAACGCCATTATTGAGTTGTTTGTACCAACGATTACATGTACTGCTGATTGAATTATACCAAAACATCGTATAAACCGCGTGTCGTGCCAACGACTGATTACACTGACGTCCTGAATGTTATTGCTATTTATTTTAAAGGTTATAAAATCTCCTAAAAATCTTGAATGAGGATAAAGAATTAAGACAAACATATTATATAAAAAGATTTTTCGTAATTAGATTTCTTTATAAGAACAATAATAATAGATTACACAGATACGTATTTAGGTGTGCTTACACTCTTCAAATAATTAAATTTATTTTAAATGTAAAGCTTTGAAATAGCTTACCACTTAGATATTGAACACAAATAAGGAAAGTTGTTAATTTACTATAAAACTCTAGAATAATCTGGCAGTATTTATCTTACAAAAAAATCTTATAAAGTTTTTAATAGGTGACGAAACACAGAATTATTTTATAGTTTAACAATCTTTACAGGACTATTCTTTTCTTCAAAACTCAACAATTCGATTATTCTAAAGTAACAATTGACGAATATATCTTCTAGAATAACAGTTGCTATACATAGTATGTGCTCCTACCTTCACTTCAAGAAATTCAATAAATGTATATCTAACTATTCTACTTTGGAAATATTTTCTATTCATTTCGAATTTTAACTCTATATACACTATACATGGGAGTGTTTACTGACCATGATAATGGCTGGAGAGTTCATCTTTTGAAAACTGTTATACTAAAAGAATGTATAAAAAGATCATCGTTAGTGGACGCAAACATTTTATCAACTTGTGTATAAGTTAATTATCCAATTGGGAACGCAAGACGTTGAAATAAAATTTCACACAAAAATTGTTATGGATTATTCCAAGATTGCAAAAACTATACTCATGATTTATCATGTTGTTTGGCCAATGGCTTGTAAAGAGGGTGTTAAAATACAATCTCCTCCAACCATCGTCAGGTTTATTCTAACACCACTAAGGAGCAGAATCAACAACAAGCCAAAACCTAACCAACGGCAATACAGATCTAAGACCAAAACACGTTACAAAATTGTAAGAAATGCTATTTTAAATTCATGTTCTTTGGTCTGGTGGAATGAAAACATATTTTCGGTTTCCTCAAAAACGCCTAATGACTATGTGATAATCTAAATGTACAACAGTTTGCAGTATAGAATATAAGATAAGATGAGATAGATATCGTGAGGACAAAGCGTCTATGAGAGACTACAAGAGCACACGATAGGTGCACGACATCGATACAACATCCAGTTGGGAGCGAGAAATAGGTAGCGCAAAGAAAAAACCATCACTTCTACTCTCCAAACTATAAGGACAACACGATCACTTCTACCCTCCAAACAAACCTTAGAATATTCAGTGCAAAGAAAATACCACTTCCTCGTCTCGAAACATACGGAAGAATAGGTAGCATGAAGAAAACACCATCACTTCTACCTTCCAAACAACCATAGAACAAGTAGTGCTAAACAAAACTTCATCACTTCTACCCTGCAAGCAGTCAAGTTTTTTTTTACTGTGTCCTTATACAAGTATTATTAGAGGTATTAAAGTAGTTTCAAGTTTTATTCAGTTAAGTGTTCTGTACCATAAAAAAGGTTAATTGCCGCTCTAAAAAAACAACTATTACCGAACCATCCCATCACTCTGAAATAGATTATTCAATTTTATGTCACCATGACATTGTATAACAACACATTTTAAACCTAATCTATGGAGCCTCTAACATAATGTAACTACAGCACACAAATGTAACTCTTAATAATAGAATATATATTTATATTACAATATCAAATTATAATCAGTATTTATCTAACGATACTGTATAAGTAATTGACTGAATGTCACATATCTAAGGACAGATGCTCTTCATACTGTGAATATGCTTTGAATGGTTTACGATTGAACCTAGCTATATGAAATTTACTTTCTTGTTCAAAATATTTCTATTAGAGTTTCTTCAAAGCAAATTGTTGTAGTGGTTTGGTTTAGGATCTAATTGTTTAAATGCAATTCTCAAAACTACATAAGTTTTGTAAAATAAGAAACACCATTAGTATATTAGCTATATTACTCGTCTCTTCAGCTAGTTTTGTTCCAATTAAGCACCTTGTTTAGGAGGGCGCGTACTACTCTTCACCATGTATAAAGAAATAAATCATCATAGCATAATGTTTTCCTGTGTATGGGTTGATGATAAACAAAGGATATCAAGAGCAAGAACAGAGTACACCAACATGCAAGCTACCCACTGCAGTAGGTTGTTGGTGTTTAGCCTTGGTACGACCCCTTCTTGCATTTTGTTACAACTCATAAAACACGAACAATTATCTTTAAATAGTTTTTTCTATATTATTATACTCTTTATTTCTGTTAAGTATAAATATTGATAATGAGTACTTATTATTTAAAATAAAATATGCTATGTAGGCATATTCATTTGGTTATTTATTTATCATTATCCACTTCTACTCTTAAGTACAAAACACAAGAAGGATCATCAGCTGATAGACGACATTGAGGATAATCAAGAGACCATGCAGATGCAGAGAGGGACACTCCGATATGCGAGGGAATAGATACAGTAGTTGGGGTCTGTAGTGTACAACACTGTACTGTACACCCTTAGTGACGAAGAACAGAGAACAGCAAGCGAAGCAGCGGGCAAGCGACACTGACACATTAAACATCTTAACAATGAATTATATTTCTTTTATCAATTAAAAATCGGTATCACAATCTTTTTGACATTTAACCTCATTTATTATTTCTTAAATGAAATAACACATCCTGAGGTCGGGTAGTAACAACTTTAAACATAGAAAAGAGAGACAATAAAAGTAACAGTAATCGAAGCGGACATAGACTATTTTACAAAAGTCCGTTTCTACATTGTGGAAACATAATTATAAAAAATCCAGTGTTATAAGTGATTTAACGCAACACCACTGAGAATAAGTGTTGTGACCTCGCAAATGGAATCAGAGTCAAAGTTTTACTTTATTTTGTTTTTAACCACAAAATACAGTATATAAAATAATAAATTTTTCATTTGAATTTTGCTGGACAGACTTTTTACTTCATAATAGTAGCCGAATACTTTAAGTCTCAAATAACAGCTGAGTTGGTTAAGTTTGCTCTTGTAGTATTGCGTTAAATCGAAAGTAAGCAATATGGTATATTTACAGGGACCATGTATAACAAACAATCGAGTGTCTAACAGTTTTTTACATTGAATAACGAGTCACTCCATTTACTATAAAAATCAATATTCTAATATGTAGTTTTTGTACAACGTCAAAAATTCAAATTGAAACATCAAAACAAAAGGATATAACAAGGATTGGTATTGTCTCCCTAACCATGTATATAAACACACATAATCTTTAACATACATTCAAAATGTTTTTTTTATAATTTTTATAATTACAAACAGTTATCACAATAACTCTTTGTTTTCTTACATTTTTGTACAAATTTCGGCGTAACAACCACTGAAATTTTCAAACTTGAGCTAAATGCCATGTTATTAGAATTTAAATTAAAGCCAAACGCTTTTAACTCGAATCCTCTCAGAAAGTAAGGTAGGATTATTTAAATTTGATCGTTGTGTGAATTCACTATCACTATTTAACCGTAACTATGTTAAGTATAACAATTATACAAGTACTTAGTTTTACTAGAGTCGTAAAAAATTAAGGCTTTCATTTGCAAGAGGTGAAATAATTATTCTCATTTGAATTTTACGGTCATATAGACAGTTGTTAAAGTCATGGATACTTACTAGTTTAGTTTAAAAGGCCTCATAGTGTCATATTAAATCTCACATCTCTTTTAGCAGTGGATTGGTATTAAAATTATTATTAGCAAACTTCTATCGTCAAACTATATCCACTGTTCTCTGCAATGATGATAATGGTCAATGATGCAGTTAAACGTATTCATTTGGATTAAAATATGTTAACCTGTATTTTATACAAACTAATATTATTATTACATTTTAACATAAACCCCTTTGCAAAATATTGACGGAACTTATAGCTTAAGATCTCTTTACATATAACGTATTATAACCCTCAGTCGTTCTACATTGTGGGCCTTAGGAAATTCAGTTGTAATCCCAAAATAACTTACGGCACACAATAAACTAGTAAGTAACATGATTTTGTATGTCGTAAAAATCTGGTTATTGGAAATCCGATGAGAGAATGCAAAAGCTTTTCCTAAATCGCACGATCTAGATAGCTAACGCATAGCGAAGCAACTAACTGCAAATGTCAACTTATAGGTTTGTCTCTTGTCAGCTCAATGTTTCGCTATCGGGGTGTTGTATCTGCACAATAGTCCATCTACGAGATATGTGGGGCGTAGGGCTCAGGCTCACTTTGGTCCACTCACTGGAGGCTGCACTTGCTTTCTATTTGTGTTTTCAACTCATTCACTTGCGTTTCTATTGTGTTTTTCAGTTCTGAAACAAAAAACACTGAAATTTAAAAACTTGACTTGGCATTATGGTAAGTATAACTAATGTAGGTATCTTATTATGTAATATTGGGGTTGGACAGGAGAAAATAGGTTGTAACCAGTTCATCACCTAGTTTCCCGTACGTAAAACTAGCCTAAAATGGACATATTCTGTGATTACCTTTGAGCATTTAACATTAAATAATTTGACAGTATTTAAGGTTAATCTACTCTAAGATGTTCAATAATGTTTATAAAATATGGAAAATGAGAGATTTGTAAATCGCTAGCTTTAGGTTTGATACTTTACAAAAAATGTTGTTGCTATTCAGGAGTAAAGCATTACATTATGGGGAATGTTGTTCAGTTTTTTTTTTCATTAATACTCATTTAACTTTGATTAAATATAGCAATATTTCATCTATAAATGCACGAAGAAAAGTTTTATAAATGTTGTTTATGGTGAATTATATGATAAAGGTTGTTCCAAGGTTTTTTTACTTACAGTACGTGCACATAATAATCCACACCTCCGTGGACAACTTATACAATATATGATTATTTATCAGAACCCTAGGTGAGTGCAATAGTTTACAATAATATTCAATTAACTCGTCCAGCTTGAGTGTAACTCACACAGTGAACAGTTTTTTTGTTTTTTTTCCTGATATTAATACTTTACTAGACAATGTGACCCAAATGGAGGAGGAAGGTCTACTGAAATCTGACGATGACAACAAGCTCGCAGAAACCGGAAAGGAACGAAAAACAGCGAGTTCCAGGGGCGAGTTGCAAAGATGGAGGATAGCGGATGCTTAAGCCAAAGACGAAAAGGTGCTATCCAGAAGTGAGAGGAGGCTGGTGTGGGCTGCCAAGCACCCTAACTCTGCTGCCTGCAAAGCCAGTTCCTCCGGGAACTAGGATGCTGGGAAAAAGCAGGGCAAGGGTGGTACCCCCAAAGCTGACTCTAATGAAGCCTCCAGGAAGAAAGGTGGAGGTTGTGCTGACGCAGCCACAAAGGATTGGCTGGTCAAGCAAGTTCAGGAGCTGAGTCCTTTCGGGGAAATCTCGCTACGGCTTGCCCCAGCCAGAGACCTTGTTAAAGCTGTGAAGGTATATTTATGTGCCCAGTCCTACAAGGTCTGCGTATGAGATCCCTTGGCCTATTGATGGGATATCAAAAGGAAAAACAGGTCACCATAGTCAAAATGCTCTCACGGTTCGGACGGTGACGGAGAATGCGGATCTGTGAACGAGGGTGCACAATAAGCTGTTCTAGCTGCGATGCAATCCCATGATAACTTGTAAGCCTGGCCCTCTATTAAAAAAAAGGTATCATGAACTACAGTAACATAAACATGTAACGGTAACTCACTAGTAAACTCGTCTTGGTCAGCCTCTTCCGCCTCCCGTGCTAACTCTTCTGGAGTCTTCTTCTTTCGCATCAGAGGGTTTTCAGGCTCCTCTGGTGGCATTTCTTGGATTTCTTCTTTCTTCTTAATGTTATACTAGAACAACAATCGTTATGTTAGTAACTCTTTATCAACACAAGTTTAACATCGATGTAATAACAATTGATTATAACTTGTGAGATCGTGGTAAGTAATTTCTTGATTAGCATTGTACGTGTTGTTAAATTTACGGAAAGTAAATAAAAGAAACGTCTTACAACACTTAAAACATATATTTACACTTATACTGTTACTCACAAGACAAAAAGATGGTAAGTGGTGATCGATTTTGATTGGACACTCCAATCATCATCAGACCCAATAGGCGAATGACCTAAGTGATAAGTGTAAATATATGTTTTATGTGTATACTTTCTTGTGTGTTTATGTGTTTAGACGTTTCTTTTATTTACTTTCCAACATGGTAAGACCAAACATTCAGTTAGTTAATCTTAAGTGGTGCATCTTAAGTCAAACCAATATAAATATAATATATATATTTGTGTTTAATGTAAGTTAAATACAATTTAATACATTCTTAATTATAAACATCGTTATATACTCTAAATTATGATACAATTACGCGTTACTTAAGAATAAATAAACCTATTTATAGTTAGATTTACAAGATCAATATTTCTTCGGATAATTTCTATAAATATTAGTGTTAAAAGTTTTGTGCTGTAGAAAAAAGAAGCAAAAATAACACATAGACCTAACTCCATGAAAGTAAAAATAAATTGTTTAGTCAAAGTCATTTGTGCAAAAAATAATTTTAGATTTTACCATACAAATAAACTTATAGACGGTATCTAAATTTCTCTTATCTAATACTTGATTGTTTATCTAAATATAACATGTATGAACAAAAATATAATTTTGAAAGTACAGTGGAAATGAAAAAAAATACACACACTAACACTACACAATATTAATTAACTAGACACGTATTAATATTATACATTTGTAAAATCTCAAGTTTATTACGTACAATAATGTCAATATTTAAAGACAAATGGATTGGTTCTTAACAATATAATTGTATAATCAAACATTATGCTGAGAAAATCTTTAAGTCTCTTTATAAACATTGAGATGAAACACAACAAATTTAAAATATAGAATGTTCTGTTCTTTAGGATTCTATTAAGTTAAAACACTTTTTGACAGTGCGTGTGTGCTATGTATATAATATTTATTCTTTTCAATTTTTGTACACCAATTAAAATTAAAAAAATATGAGACTTAAATCATTTTTTAATTGTATTGATCAACTTTACTTAATTTTTAAATGCAATAATAGAAACAGGAATGACATTTAGTTTAAGGCAGTAACTGGCTGTAGCAAACGCCAAGATTGTTGGTCTTGAGTCAATCTTGGGCTCCGTGGGGCGAGGACGGTGAATATTTCAAGTGGTCTAAGATGGCGTCCGACGACAAGCCCATAGGAAATCAATCTGACTCCATTAGGGAGTCTACAACTGACTCCCTACTAGAGTCAATTTGACCCCCGTCTGGGACGAATCTACTTGTTCCCATCAATAGGACCAATTATAGTTGCCAGTCGTTCAGATGTCGCTCCCGTTGTTGTTACACGCTGTTGTTGACGTGTCATCTGTTGTTCCTGTTGGTTTATACTGTTGTTTACATAATTTTTAATTTTAAACTACTATTAATTCTATTTTGGTTCTCTATATCAAGCATATATTTATCGTGTCTAGTTATTTTATTTCAATAGAGTCTCCTTATGTATTATTTGCATTACACAATGTAAACTCGACGACACATTAACATCCAAATGATGTGTATTTAAAAAAGTATAGAGCTATAAATACGTATCAAGTACAATGTAGGTAAAATTACGTAGAACTATTATACAATTAAATTTGACAATTAGGTTTGAAAGTCCTTTTACTTATTAGAAATGGAAACAGAATTTGACAAATGTAGCATTGTTCATATAACATCCATCGTTCTTATAAAACCAAAAGAGGTTTTTATTTCTAACTCATTAAGTAAGTATTGGTAGATAATATTCAAAACTGGGTTTTGGTACTTATTATTGCATTATTATATGCATTGAGTTTGGTTCTGTGAGGGACGCTTAAACAATACAGGATAAAACAAATGTTGGTGATAAATAAAATTATAAGTGAAGAATGAAATCGTTAATATACCTGGGTGAAAAATGAACATTCGACTATCTCAAATAAATGTAAGATTGTTCTATTACTTTAGTATGAATGTGATTTAATAGTAGAACTAATCAAATAGAAAATGAAGTGTATGCGCATCAAGCAGTGCAATTTGACAGAAAATCTAAATGAAAATGTCAATCAATATGACCCATTTTTGAAACCACTGAAGAAATAAAAGTGAGATTGAATTGGCTTTTTAAAGTAGGGTACTGTCGTCTGGCTGTATTGACAGCGAGTTTGTTACAAGCAAACATGTTGAACTGCCGAGATGATTTTGAAAAATGCATACTAATATAAACAAAATGCCATAGCTATTTACATGGTTACACACACACGGCAAGTCATTCAATCTTTATTCAACAAAGAGTAAGTCAAGGCTAAAGTATGTTTTAAATATAAAAATGCTTCAGATTAAACTAACTTAACCATTCAGAGGACACTAAGTTAACAGTGTTTTACATAAAGAATAAGGTATGTGGAACACATAATTTACATTTCTGTAATTTGTCACATTATTGTGTATTTTACAATACACACACATATATATATATATATATATTTATATTTATATATAATATTCATATGGCTTGTTCACATACAACCTGAATCGTATTTTTAACAAAAAATGGTTTGATCAACCAACGGTTTCAAAGAATGTTAACAGCTGAGCTTCAAATGATTACGGTAAAAGTTTTATTGATCAAACTTTAATAATTTCCTCCACAAAACATAATAATACACTTATAACTCTTTTTACACAATACCTATTAAAAAAAATATTAAAACATGTCTTACAGACATTAATCTTTCATTTACTTGGTATGTTATTATTGCAATAAAAACATACCAAATAAGTTTCTTTGCTAAAATATAACCTCTTGACTTTTGTACTCAAATGGATACAAACTATGCTAAAGAATTATACTGTTTACGACTTGGTAGTTTTTATCTGAACAAGGTATGTTAGCAGAAATGTAATTTTTCCTTCAAGATGAATAGTAATTAATCCACAAAGATTTGAACTTGTATCCTTATTGACACCTTTAATGTAGTGGCATATCATTGTACTAATAATCTAATTCACCATCGATTAGAGCTCGATTATATTTGATCCAAGTTTAAGTAACATTAAAGATATAAATTAAAAATATGTAAGCTCGAAGTTAGTTTAAATGAAAATTATTTACACAGTCAAGCGCATACTTTATAACACTCTGTAAAAAAAGAATACACCAATATATTTTCGATGTACTGAACATTTTTTCTCAGCTCAGTCTGATAATTAAGCCCACAGTAAATAATAAAATGTTATTAAATTGATTTTAGCTGTAATAGTAAATATCATCATGTTAAAACAACGCTGCTATTGCTGTTTATGATTCTACAGTAGAACGTTAAGTTAAAGAACTTGAATGAAAGGCTACCATGAAGCCTCGGCATAAATTAGTTTCAATTAAAATAACAGCTGAGAACTTAATCAGGGATACAACATCTAGGTTAGTGCAGTGGTTTCTACAAAATCCCAAATAAGTAAGAATTTTTCTGAAAAGAATTTAAAACTATATATTTGACTTAAGACTTATTTATTCTATGCTTATAGTTTTAAGTAGGTCAAACAATATTTACTTAATATTTATCTGATTTCATCGTAGTTTTTGTGGTGTGTGTGACAGTTACCTTATCTCTGATCTCCTGTCTCATCTTTTCTCGCTCCTCCTCCATTTTCCTGTGTTTCTCCTTCCTCCGCTCTTCCGCCTCCCGGATGGCCTCCTGCCGCTCTCTCTCTGCCTCCTCCTCCTTCTCCTTATCATCTTCGTTATCTCCATCTCCACCAACTGCCCCTGTAACCCGGAAAAATAGTTAATTATATTTTCTTTTAATTCGCCGTTTTAGTATTTGTTATTGTTCAAACTTCATTTGCGTCGAAATTCATCTATAGAAGGTTTGTCAAAAGTTTGTCATCACTATTTAAATAGTTGAACAATGCTAGTGTATGTATTTTTAATCTAAAACTTATTTGTTATTTATTTATTAAAAAGAATCTAATTACATTCCGTCTATTGTTTTAATTGATCTTTGTGTCATTGTGTAAACCTCCAACATTTAAATTTTGTTGGCAGTTTATAAATTTGTTTAAGGTGTTTCGACTAGAGTTTTAGAACACCTAATACTTTTTACTGAGTAGATTGGTACAAGGAACTGTGTCCTGCTTGTAATTGAATTGAAACCTTATTTCCGAACAAGCTAGCGGCGCCCGCCTAGCGTACAGCCTTCGGCAACAATATATCATGTTATTACAGTCATTTTTGTTCTTTGAATAAGGGATGGATAATCAGATTCCCATAAAATTTATTTTATATTTACATAAAACAGTAATATTAATGTAATAAACAGCTTTAAACAATTGTACCAGTTTAAAAAGAAACCTATGCAGGAAAACCTTTTTCATTACACTACTGTGAAATGACCTATTTTCTATATACGTTTATCACCTGAAAAAAATCATCATTACATTTTCTACTACGGAAAAAGAAAGTTTACTGTACAAAATTAATATTTACTATCTTATTTGGATTTTTCCGGCGTAAACAAACAATGTTTATTATTGTACATCAGCTGTTTCAATTTGCAACAACCAAAACTGTACAATCAATGTAAATTTATCTTTTAAAACTTCTATAAATTTGTTAGTATTCCTAACTGTAATAAAGAAATATCCAATGCATATTTAAATTAAGAAAATAATTAGTGTTTGTAGTGTAGCGATCAGTAACGTTGAAAACACGAGTGAAAGTGGGTCTATACATATTCTCAACCGTATTTAACGTGCTCCATAAATCTCGCACTTAAACAAATATGGGCTCATATTATGTAATGACTCACTTTTTACTCCTGTTCTGAAATATAATATTATATTTTACATATGGTTAAATAAATTTAGTAAATCAGTAAATGATATTAGGATATAAAATGAACAATAAATATGGCATTGCAAATTTAAAAATTTTTCGGGTTAAATAGTATTTTAACAAAACTAAAAATTATAAATATTTTTAAGAACATTTCCCTAGTAGTTTATTACGTTAGTTAACTCTTAAGGTAACGTTCAAATATCTTGCTTTACCAAGGTGTATGCGTTTTTTTCCATGATTTGTTTGCAATGATATCATTAGAGTCGAAATCCTAAATTTACTATGATAATATCTTATGATCTAATTATTACTATGCAATTTCTGTATACTGTATATAAAACATAGTAATCATTTCATTGTGTATGACCAAATACTGAATTGATTTTATAAATACAATTACTTTAAAAAGAAAAATATTGCTTAACTACCATAGTAAGTTAATTTTTATAAACTTACTATGGTAGTTAAGCAGGAATTTTCTTCAAAATCTTCCAAACATCCGGAAAAGCTAGGCTTTTATCTTAAATAATATTGTAAGAATTTCATTTGAAGAAGGTTGAGTTATTTAAAGGACTATATGTATAAGTTGAAACTTTTGATTGTCTGAAGTTGGTTATAATTATAGTTATAATGTTGGTTATAATTATAGCACAATATTGTAGTCGTGCAGTGAAATACAAGTACAGGCTATACAGCTTGACGATGATATTTTGACGTTAACAAAATTATTTATTGAGTTATCTTCAAGGAGAAAATGTATTTACAAACTTCTCATGCGAAACTTTTAAAACATTTCTTCAAAAGATAACTTGATCTAAAAGAACAATTAAATTATAATAAACCAAAGAGGTGGGATTTTGCGCAGTGTTTTGCGCACAATAATTTTCATGCAAAACCCATTATACTCGTACAAACTCATAATTCAACTGATTAAATATTTCAACTGGGTTAGAAATAATATTTTGATGATACGAGTAAACCACAAAAAGTATTTGTCGAAGACATAAAGAACCCTTGACTTAAATTGACCTGGTCAATTTCTGCTCATATTGTTTGGTACAAGGAGTACAATGCTTTCAAGAGATCGAATGGACAACTTGAACAAGGAATGCAGAGGGCGTTACACTGGTAGATGACTAACAGGAGCAGTTAGCCGGGTAACAAGGGACCTTAGTTGATTGTCAATTAATGCAAGTCAGAGTGTGAGTGTGGCTCCCGAGTAGATTACAAAGCAATCAACATCAGCTGGGCTCTGTTACCAGCTCATCTCCTCAGTCCCCAGCACTACCACAACTGCCCCACAAGTACCCCATCCACAATAATAGTTTACAGTTTATCAGATGTGGCAAGAATTAAATCTTTAGCTGGATATAAAATGAATAGTGGTGGCCTGCTATGCTTCACGCTCGTATTGGATGAAAAAAATAGTTAGATAGTTTCTAGAACTTTTTATACTAGCCATTGTTTGTCGTATTACATTCTTGATAAATAGATTTGTTCACTTATTATTAAATAATACATGGTGTTTAAAAAAGGTAGCGACATAATTAGGTATGGTAATGATTTGTTGGGTCAAAATAAAGATAAAATCAAGAATAACATGTTTTGCAAAATCGCTTCGTCAACCAGATATCCGCCATTCTGTATTTTTTACATAACAATTTTTATCGTAGAATCTTTTTTAAATGGTCTTTATGAAACTTGGTATGTATACTAATGTGTTAGAAAAAAAGTTGTCTAGATAAAAACAATCTAAATGGCTGAAATAAAAATCATAAATGAACATAGCTGAAATATTACGATTTTTATTCCCTATCCAACAATACCAAGTTTAAAAAGATCGATCGGAAAATAACTAAAATATCATGATTGTTAGTTGTAAAATTAGGCAAACCTGACTAGCTTAGTCTTATTATACCCATATTACACAACTAACAATCATAATTTTTCAGTTATTTTCCAATCGATCTTTTTAATTTTGGTATCTTGGAGAGGGAATAAGAAAATGCTAAATAAAAGTGTTCAAGACATTTTTCATAAAATAAGCCACATTTTAGTAATTTACGTTTAGAAATTGGAAAGGGCCACCATTTGAAATTTTATGTTGAATTAAGGTAACTTTGTTTTACATGCTCCTCGTCTATATCCAAGTTTCATAAAGATCGGTTGAACAAATTCTAAGATAAAATGTTTATGTTATAACAATGGCGGAAATCTGGTTAAGAAAGATATTTTGGAAAATATTTTATTCTTGACATTTAGACCTAAGGAATCACAACGTAAATTATGTCCCCACCTTTTTTGAACACCCTGTTTATCACTTAACTTATGTGGAATCCTAAATAACCACTAAGGTTTCAATCAAGCGGTTTGTTTATTTGTGTGTTTTATAAAACAACTCTCTTACAAGATTAAATTTGTTTTTTATTTTTCTTTACAAATAATGTTTACAATAGTAGGCTTTAACACCTGGAAATAACTGGATTTTATTGGATAAGAGTCTATTAAAATAACATTTTGCAAAAGAAAGGATTTTTTTATGTTTACAATTATTCCTTTCAATACTCAACATAGCACGGTGTGTATTTGTAATTTTGACAGCATCCTTTACAATGGTACATGGAACACTAGTGACACTTTTTTACTTAATTAATTGATGATGGGCCCTCATAAAGTGAACATGAAATACATTTTGTAGAAAACAATCTCAGTTCATTTTGTTCATCATAACATATATGTATGTATGTCACAATTATTTTATATTTTCTAATACATTATAATGCTGTTAATATTTTTAACATTACAGATTAACCATGTCTGCTAATTACATGACATCATGACTATTGTAAAGATGAAGAAACAAATTTGCAGGGTTTTAGATATTCCCTTGGTAAAATTATTCTTAAAAACAAAACATTCTGGTGCAATGAGATTATATTCTTAATTATAGTGAATCTTCACGGTCTTAGTTTTTAACTAGTTTTATATGCTTCAACGTGAAGACGTTATGGCAAACGCTTTAAATATGAGAACAAACAAATGCCAGATAACCTGAATGCAGGCCTTGCGTTGGTTAAGTAGTGCGTTTTGGATTGAAATGTATTTATTCTTAATAATTTAATTTATTTCTGCACAGATTACTTTTAGTAGTATTTGTTGGACTATGTTGGACTATATCACTGAACGTGTTTATGTGTCTAATTTGTTCTTAATAGGAATTCATTCAACATAAAAACAACTTGACTTAAAATAAATTTAATAATATTCCAATTCTAATATAAAGGTATACAGGGTGTTCAAAAAGGGTGGAGACATATATCACCTAGTGATTCCTTGACTAAAATAAAGAGAAACTCAAGTATAACATTTTTTCAAAATCGCTTCGTTAACCAGATATCCGCCATTTTGTATTTTTTACATAAACATTTTTATCTTTGGACTTTTTTTAACTGATATTTATAAAACTTGGTATGAATGTTAAAATAAAAGAGACCCATTATAGAAAAACAAATCATCTTGATTCAACTTAAAATTTCAAAATGGCGGCCATTTTAATTTTTTAAACTTAAATTACAAAAAAAAAACGGCTGATTTTATGAACAAACGTATAGAACACTTTTATTTAGCACTTTTAATTCCCTATCAAACGATACCAAGTTCAACAAGATCTAATAAGAAATAGCTGAAATATTGCGATTTTTGTTTGTAAAATGGGGTAAAATAAGGTCGCCCAGCTTTGCCCCATTTTACAAATAAAAATCTTAATATTTCAGCTATTTCTTATGCGATATTTTTGAACTTGGTATTGTTTGATAGGGAGTTAAAATCGGTAAATAAAAGTGTACTTGAAATTTTTTCATAGAACTGACAGTTTTTGAGTAATTTCAATTAAAAAATTAAAATGGCCGCCATTTTGAAATTTTAAGTTGAAT